CTTTAGTCTTTGCAACTTTACAGATCTTCTTTATGCACCAAGAGCTTGCAACACTCCAAAGAGAAAGGAAAACCTGAAATCGCATCATATGACCCCTTAAAGACAATTGAATATAATAAAAAAAAAACTCATAAGAAATAAATTATGTCATATATATCATGAAATAGTCGCCAGTGGCGACCTCAGCAAAAACTTCACTCGCAAATTAGTATTTTTGGTCGCAGTCTGGAGCCCTGCTTTAAGAAGTTAATTCTTTCATCAACTTCACATGAGGAGCGAGGTGCAAATACCCAGCAAACTGCTTCTCACTGCCAGTGGTTTTAGAGGCTAATTAATTAATAATATCAAGGTTTACTGGATTTTACATTTATTTATTTATTCATTCATTCATTCTTTTGTTTTGTGGGTTTGGTGTAAAAAAAAATTTTTTTCCCCGGGTGTCCTCCAAACTGACACACAAATCAGTTTAAGAAGTTCATTCCTTCATCAACTCCACACGAGGTGCAAATTCCCGGCAAACTGCTTCTCACTGCGGATTCCCAGTGGTTTTAGAGGACAATGCAATAGGGCCTGGCTGCAGACATGCACTTGCCCTCTCGGACACCTGTGCTTCTGCAAGTGACTTCACTTTTATTTTGTATTTTATTTTGAACTGAATCTCTCAACATTTTAAACAAGCAGCCAGGTGGTGAAGACAAGATAAAATAAACAAAATTGCAATGTCACTTGCAATTGCCACCTGCACTCTCCACTACCTGCGACGTCACTTGCAAACGACACAAATGAACCTGTCGCACAGATCGATGCATTTTCTGTCACTCATCGTATCCGCTTGAGAGGAGTGAAATCTGCTCTTAAAAAGTAGCTAAGAACATGACACAATGCAACAGATACATTCTAATTTATTGTGATGCACCTGTATACATGATGTATTCTCGCGGCGGTGCTAGGTGCTACTGCCCAATAAAATGGCATGATGGTATAAGGGCTTCAGATATTCGTCACACCGAAGGTGTTCCCATAGCGAAGCAGATAGAGGAGAGTGCAGGTGGCGATTGCAAGTGACATTGTAATTTTGTTTCTTTTTTTCTTGTCTTCACCGCATGGATACTGTTGTAAAATGTTGAGAGATTCAAAGAACACATAAAATAAAATATTGTATTCATCACTATTTCCACACAAAAGCATTTACTGAGCTCTCATGATCGCAGATTGTTACAGATCAATGTGAATCATCAGTTTTTCTTGTCTTCACCACCTGGATACTGTTGTAAAATGTTGAGAGATTCAAAGAACACATAAAATAAAATATTGTATTCATAAATAATTAAATACAAAAGCATTTACTGAGCTCTCATGATCGTTACAGATCAATGTGAATCATCAGATTGTCAAGTCAAGTCACCTTTATTTATAGCACTTTATACAATACAGATTGTGTCAAAGCAGCTTTACCGTGTTAAACAGGAAAAAACTTGTGCTGATAATGCAAGAGGACACTAGAGTCAGTTTTCCAGTTAAGGTCAGTTCATTGTTGATTCAGTGATGTGTATTAGAGATGGGACATTTGACACTGAGGCTCCGAAGCCTGTTTTACTCTATTGAAGCAAATTGGTTCGAAAGACTATGTCGAGGCTTGTATCAAATCTCTGTGATCACGTGACCGATGACGTTTGAGGCTTCATACGTCACAATGAAACACCTAAAGCGAGGTGACTGATTCGAATCTTTGGCGTGGCTTCTTTCATTATAAGGAGACGTGAAATGCTTGGTGTTCCCTCCCTGCTTCATAGTAACACGTTCGTGTGTAGACAATGATTCTCAGAATGAAGACACAGCTGCTATTGTTCAGTATTGCTCTTGTGTTGAAACTGGAATCAACAAGATGTGTGAATCATTTGAAAGTGGCTGCGGTCTGTCTTTGAGGCTTTTTTGGTACAATCAGGGAAAAAGCCTCAAAAGCTTCACAAGTCTTCATCTGCCCATCTCTAATGTCTATATTGTACAGCTTTGGTCAGTTCAAATAAAATATCTGCAATTAAGTTGACGATATTGCCAGAAATTAAGTGCAAATCATCATCACATCAACATCAGATCATACTTGAGCATCACATCACAGAAATGATGAATGAACTTCCACTGTTTCATGAGTTCATCATTTATTATCATGTTATTTTAATCTCAAGGTATCAGGAGAAATATCTACCATCCGAATAGGGCTTTTGAGTTGATCTGAATCTCACAGTACAAGTGATACATCTATTAGACAATAGAACATAAAACTCACAACTCATAAAACTCACATGAAACTCGTAAGACAACACAATGATATTATTTATGTAATGAAGCAAAATTATATACAAGAATAAAACTTTGTGACATTGAGATTCTGATTAACTCAAAGATTGAGTTCCTCCACAAAGAACAAAGTTGAATCTGCTGGTTTTGAAGACGAAGATGAACTTTATTCACTGTGAAAACTTTAGATAATGTTTCTTTGTCATGTCACTTGTAATGACTGGTTAGGACAGATTTATACAGATGATAGTTTATTGCTTGATGCATTATTGCAGCATCAGATCTGAAAGTGCTGGATCTGAAGATGATCTACTTGCTGTGATAGTTTTTTGTATGACTGTGTAGAGAAGCTGAATGACTGAAACACTTCCCACATGCAGTGCAGTGATACGGTTTCTCTCCAGTGTGAATCCTCTTGTGTGTCTTCAGATTTGATGACCGACTAAATATCTTGTCGCAGTATGAACACTTGTAAGGTTTCTCTCCAGTGTGGATCCTCTCGTGTGTTTTCAGATGTCCTGAATCACTGAATCTCTTGTCGCAGTGTGAACACTTGTAAGGTTTATCTCCAGTGTGAATCCTCTCATGCAGTTTTAAACACTGCGCTGTAGTAAAAGTGTTTTCACACTCAAAGCACATGTACTCTCTCACAGCAGTGTGTATTTTCTGATGTTCTTTCAAATATTGTAAACATTAAAAACTCTTTCCACACAAATGACATGAATGTGGCTTCTCCTTTGTATGAACTCTCAGGTGTTTCTTCAGGTATGAAGCTCTCAAAAATGTTTTGTCGCACTGATCACATGTGTACGGTTTCTCTCCAGTATGAACTCTTATATGCTCTGTAAGGCTTCCTTTTATTGTGAATCTCTTCCCGCACTGATCACAAGTGAACGGTTTTTCTCCAGTATGAACTCTCATGTGAACATCAAGACTTGTTTTTGTGTGTGAAACTCTTTCCACACTGAGTGCAGGTGAAAGATTTATTGACTCTTATTTTCTTTGAATATTTCTGTTCGGTTTGAGAGCAGCCCAAGGGTTTTTCTCCAGTTTTGACATGATCTTTCTCCTCAACTGATATAATAGCGGAAATAGGGCTGGACGATATGACCTAAAATCAAAACCTTGATTAATTGAACACTTTAAATCGATTATAATTATGAATGATTTTATTTTTAACATTTGTTTATATTCTGAAATGTAAAATAAATTTCATTTAAAGGTGGGGTAAGCGATTTCTGGTAGCCAATGTTGACATTTGAAATCACCAAATCAAACACGCCCCTACCCCAAAAGGGTCTCGCCCCTATTTTGATAGCTCCGCCCCACACATACGTACGCAACCCAGGCAACGATTAGTTCTGTGAAACAAAGCAAAACCAATGTTAC